CCATCAAGGAAGCGTGGACACAGGCGAGATGAACCGTGATCCCAGAACATTTCCTAACCACATCTTGAATTACAGCAAATCTTAGACCTCATTGTACCACAGAGGAGCTACACTTTGGATACTGAGAACACTGGAGAGCAGCAGGCAATAATTATTGCAAGAAGCTGTTCGCTCATTTGGGATACTAAGGCTGAAGAAAAGTTGGGGAGTTAGTCAAAAGCAGCTTAGGAGAGGCACGGAGACCTCCAGCTGTCAGTCTGCACTTTCACAGGCCTCTCAGCTGAACTTTGTCCTTTAATAGTCAAATACTTCTCTCAGCTCCTCTCCCTGCAGGGCTCCATCTCACCAACCCCAGGCACACCGCCCCCCCAGCCCCCACATACCTGCCTTCCCAGCGCTACCGTCACCAGCTGCCCCGGGGGCAGGGGGGTCCCGGTGGATGGAGCCCCAGCTCCTCTTAAAGCTGAACTCTGCTTGGGAGGATCTAAACCGGCATCCCAGGATGCTGGGTTGTTATAAACCTCAGCCTCCCCATGCTCTAGTCTAAACTAGAAGTTGCTTTTCTCTTTGAATAGTTGGCTAGCGGCGACATGACATCAACAGGGAGCAGAATTCAAGCAGAACAGTCGAATTACATCATCCAAAGAAACTGGAGCCCCTCGCTGCATTTGAAAAAGAGGACAGCTTAAAGCAAAATCAGATGGATTTGTTTTTCCTGGCATGAAGAAGTTCAGTCATCTTTTTGAAGCAGAAATATACATTTGCTTGTTTAGTCATGAATTAAAGATATTTTCTCCTTGGAGCTGTTTACATTATCTTGAAATTATCCTTCTGTTTCTGAACCTCAAATAGTTAACATAAGAGCTTCAAAGGCTTTGTGGCATGAACACATGGGACAGAGGACTTCAATTCTCTTTCCATTTCATACAAACATAAAGGGTTTCAATGACAGAACAGCCTTAATATTTTGAACATCAAACTGAAAATGGGCCTTAAAAATTGCTGCGTTGGCAATACCAGATCTAACTAGTGTATTTTTATCATCTGGTTCAGATGTTTTCATTTTTATTCACTGCTACTAAGGAATGCCACTGCATGAGGACAAAACTTCTTTACAGCTGTATTTTAGGGGGTTGTTTGTATGCTGGAGTGATAAAGCATTTAGCATATCAATGAAACAAAATTATGAGACTTACATGCAGACTGGCTCCCAGCACCCTTAGTACCAGAGCACTGTACCCTGCCCACAGGGATGGCATACGCCACAGCGCGTGCTCAGGTTTTGGTCCCCCACTGCCCCAGTCAGCGGAGTATTGACTACAATCACAGCTCCCTCCCAGCCCAGCCAGCCCAGTCTCATTGTGAAGGCCACCCAGCCACGTAGAACAGTTGAAAGTAGCTGGCAAAAGACACAGCATCATATAAACAGTTAACATTAAGGGTGAGGATTTTAGCAGGGAGATAAGACAGGGTAGTGCAAAATGAAGAAAATTTACAATTACTCCTCATTGTAGGCTAAAATTGCCAAGTCCTGAATTTACTGGTTATATTTACATTCTTAGTTAACTTCTAACTTTCAGACTTGACATGAAATGAATACATTTTTTTAAAAAAACCCCACAAATGATCTGAAAAGGAAATCATTAAGCATGAGCAGCATCTTTCAACAGTTCCCTGTTTAAAAAAATGATAGTCAGAAATCTTACAGTGCTTACAGTGAAATACAGTATCCGGTGAGAGATACATACCCTCCATGTAAAACGAGCTGCTTTCACTACAGTGAAATCTTCAGAGCTCCAGACTAAAGTGGAATACGGGTTGCTGAGCTAGCAACACCTTGGAAAGAACATGGACAAGCTCTATCTCAGAGAAAAGTATAGGTGGGAGAACAAGTTAGACCTGGCATTAACAAGTTTGCAGTATTCACTGGACCAGAAAGCAACTGAGTCCACGGTCTACTACCAGGTACAAATCTGTGCTAGCATGAAGTCCTGTGGAGAAAGGGAGAGGAACCCATGTCAATACTTTGGTTTCCATGAGAGAAGATAGTTTTCCTTCAGAGGTCAGAAAAACTGCGTAACAGGTTAAAAAAAAAAAAAAAAAAAAAAAAAAGCTGTAAAACAGGTGTTTGCTGGGTTTGGGCATTTGTTATGGCTCATTGCCATATTTATTTCAATACTTTATTTCAATTTGTTATTTCGATAGCTTATTTTAATTTATTATTTCAATAGCTCATTGCAACGAATTCTGAGTGAAGGGAGGCACTATCAGCAGGTGTGTTTGTGCATCTGGCTAAGCAGGGCAAGGCAGCCAACTCCTTCAGCAGGGGTTTAAACCCTCACCTTCTCCAAACTATTCCTGACTTGGAACAATTCCAACAAGCCACTGCCGCTTGCTAACACTGCTACATACAAACCCTTTGAACTCTGCAGCAACTTAGATTTGACAGTGGTAGGAGCAATAGCTAAACTGTAGTATCCTGGTGGCACAGATCTATCTTCAGAGATGCTTCAAGTTGTGTGTATACACAAGGGCAGGAGGAATTCATTTAAGCACAAAATTAATGTTCTATTGATAAAATTGGTTATTTTTAAGTAATAAATAGCTCTGGGTGAAAGATGCCCTTGGCTTTTTTTGGGACAAACACATCAAAGTACTTTTTGCTAAACTGCTACTTAATCTACTCTTACTTTTTAAGGTTAGTACCCCCACTGAAGTTAAAAGAAGTGCCTCTCAGCTCAAGTTTCAAGCTTTCAATCCACACAGGAAATTTTTTATTTATCTTTCACACTTGGACTTTAAGGAATTTCCATGCTTAGACATTAAGAAACTCCAAAATTACATTCTGCTATGAAAAGCTAATTACAGAGAGATGGTGGAGGTCGGGGTTTTTTCCTTTTTAAATATAAATTTATTTCTGGAGTCAAGCTTTGGTGTGGGCAGTAATTTCAGCAACAAGTTCAAGGACACACAAGAGAAACAACCATAACCTATTACGGATACATAAACTGAGGTGGGAATGTAAGCAGCTTGCCAAACAGCTACCATGCTTATAAGTAGCAGGATTATAAAATTCTAGTCACTGAAAGATTAACTTCCAGAAATCAGCTTACAAAAGAAAATCTCAGGTAGTTCAGTATTAGTTTATTAAATCAGCAACTTTTATCACCACTTTCTAAAAATGATTACAAAGCATATTAAAATATATTACAGTATCTGCAAGGAATTTATTGTGTAATAAAAGTGCAACAATAATAAACTTACAGGGCTGCCTAGTTGGACAAACTGAAGCACACTGCACAGATCAAGCCTTCCCTCAGAATGCCTTTGAAGTGAAAACAGTATTTTAATAAAAATATTAGAAAAGATGAGCATGTGAAGTATAAACCAAAGTTTATGTTCATTCTCTCAGTGCTAAGTTACACATACTCATCAAACCATACACTTCAAACTCTGCTTGAATTCCAAGAATATAAAGAGCCAAAGTGAGCACACATCGTGAAGGGAAGTGAGAAGAAAAAGAGGGCACATTTCAAGTACTGGGGATGAACAATGTTGTTGAAAGTCCAGGACTAGATACTGATGCTTTGAGACTGGGTTCCACACAAACCCATACCATCCCCAACTAACAACTGGGACCTTGCTCTGACCTAAAAACCTTTGTAAATTCACAATTTTCCAGCTGTCACAGCTTCAGAAGGCTCTTGCTGTCCTGTCGTGTGGTTATGAGCTGTGACCCCCACATCTTCTGTTCCAATCTACAGCAAAATTCTAATTAATTTACATGGGAACAGAACCATGGTTGGGAATTAAAACTGTGTTGTGGAATAGCTGGAAAAGAAGTAAAAGCAGCAGTCTCTATTTTGGTTTATGGCAGCAGACCATACCTGTGGGCACTGACTTCACAGGATGAATTATTGACAGTTTTGAATAGTCTCACAGCAAACGTAAGCAAAATCCTAGGCATAAAACGTCCAACAAATGCAACATCTTATTCCTTCTTCAGCAGAGATTAATAACAACAAACTGAACACCAAAGGCTACATCATACTGCTGTTCCAAATAACTCCTAGAGCACAATTTCATGAGAGAAGTTAATCCTGCTCACTTCTCATGCTTCTAACACAAGGACTCACTAACTCCACAGAACATTATCCTAACTGGTGCGTGTGGCTGGTTTAACCAACTGAATGGGCTTGCAGGATCTGACAAGCCAGAGAGCCAGCAAGGCAAATGGAATAGGCCCACAGGTCTGTGAGGAGGTAGTGAGAAAAGAGATCCCTTCCCCTGAGCAACAGCAACCAACTCTATTAGTTTAGCTGTGCAAGAAGCTGCTGTTTAAAGTCCACATGAAATGTACTTTATTCCTATCAGCTAAGTACAATGCTAGTGCACTGCACCACATACTCAGAAATACATTTATGCATGTAGCTCTGCATGCTGATCCTGAAACACTTCTACTCCTCCAGATAAAAGAGAAAATCCACCTCTACTGTTATACATGCTTCATACATTCCCCTTCCAAATTCTATAGGAAAACATAGGAAGACATTTCAATCCCATCTAGACAGAATATTTTAACTTATCAAAATGATGCGATTCAATTCATCTCCCCTAAACCCAATACAGCACACTGTCATTGAGACTGAAGAAAAGGCTGTGTTCTCCATTTTACTACCAGTAAAGCTAGGGGAAAAAAAAAACCAACAAAACCCAAAACCCAAATCACTGAGAAACTATTCTGCTCCTCTCATGCAGGGAGGATATTTCTACTGGCAGGGGATCATATGGCTCCAATGCATTTGGAGCATCACCACTGGAACCTACACACAGTGGGAACTCACACATGGGTCCACCCCTGGAACCCTGTGCTGCTGAAGGGCAAGGTAAAGCAAAGGTGGAAGATCAGCAGCTTCCCAGATTCTCTCAGCTTTTCCCACACTACAGCAGTCACAATACACAAGCTTGCTTGCTTTTTCCTGGTGGCTTTCCTTACTAAGCTAGTCAGGTTGGTCATTAGTGTATGAATTTGTTGCTGACTACAAGCACTACACACTAACAAGCATACATTACCACTTCTGCAGCCTGTTTTTTATTTAACAACTCCTGCAATGTCTATAGACTACTTTTTGTTCAAAAATAAATTACACAGAGCATCAGTTACTCTGCAGATGTACAGTCACACAGGTAGACTCATGGTCCAGTTTCACAGCTCCACCGAAGTGCACAGAGATGCACTAAGGCTAATCTGGCTCCTAATTTAGGTCTAACAGAAACAAAGTTGGTATGCTTGAATGAGAGGAAAACCTAAGAATTCAAAAAAGGCAAGCAAGTCCTCAAGAACAATTTAATTATGCCAGGATATCCTTGATGCAGGCCCGGAAGCCTGGCAAGGTAAAGGTGTTCTTCTGTTATTACTTATAATAGCTTTATTGTTTTCCCATGGTAGAGACCTGGCAAAGTTCATGGTAATTTCACATCAGAACAGATGCAGAAGATAAGAAGTCCAGAAAGATCTGAAGTATTAAACCTGAATGACAACTTACAAATGTACAATTTGAAAAAAGAAGCTGAGGTTCTTCTTAAGTCACCTACAAGTCTGAACACCTAAGTGTGACTAAAATCTTAACTGGCAGACAACATGCAATCTACTCCCCCCTCCGGCCCCTACTACAAAGATGCTAAACCACTTTCTGGCTTGCTCCGTTTCAGAAGGCACTGTTTCTACCACTTCCTGAGACTCAAAAAGTGCTCAGAACTACAGTACCTTTGATGTGTAGGGGATTTCATACTACAAACAGAATACGAGTCCATTCCTGCTCACATGTGCAGAGCAAAACTGCCAAGTTTGATTTTAGAAAAGAACTGGCCCTCCCTGAAAGACTCAAGTTCACAGGGCCAAAAATTTGTGTTCTTTTAAGGTACTGATAAAAATCAGTTGTAAGCAGCCAGTATGTTCAACTTTGACTGTGTTAGAAAAATGGATGTTTATTAAGCATCCATTCCTTTCACAGATTGTTTTCAAGAAAGGAGTAATATCTGGAGGGACCAGGCTTTCATTATTACAGTCAATGTAGATTCCCCATCTTTCAAATATGCCACCATTGGAATCGAATATCTCTTTTGTGGTTGTCAGCTACATGTTGGCAAAAGAAAGAGTTAAAACCTTTTCTTAAAAGTATTATATATAAAAAAATATACAGAGATAACTGTATCATTACCTGTAAATAGAAATTAAATACAAATGAAAATTTCCCAAGACAATTTGATGTGCTTTGAAGAGGCTTTGAGCAATGCACCTTTTCTGAATAGTGAGGCTTCATTTCAACGGAAATGTGGGGTTTTTTAAGCTTATGAAAACATTCTGCTGTCACTTTGAACAATTCAGAAATTTACTGTCTACAGAGAAGCTAAACTGAAACTTAAAAAGAAACTCCAAATCCAAGGAACAAAGGAGATTCAGTTCTTCTAATGATAATACTGAAGAAGCAGTTCTTCAGAAAACAAGACACAATGACAGATTGAAAGAATCATTTTAATATTTTGCAGCTCTAGCTATAATCAGCAAAGTTTTAAAACAAGTCTGCTCACATTTTGAGCACCTAAAAGACTCTCCCTGTTACTCTTCTTCTACTAATCCCTTATTAAATAACGAAAAGAATAAAAAAAGTTCCTTTTACATCAGCCTTTTCTTAAACTCTAGGTATGATGACTTGATGCCTAAAGTATTTTTTTAGCATAGAAAATATTCCTTGCATGGGCAGGTGAATTTAGTATTTAGAGCTTCCCTGCACTATTTAAAACAGGCTGGAGAAACTTACAGTTGATAAGTATTTAGATTTGGTGAAGGTCAGTGATTTTTCACACATGGTCTTTTCTGCTTCATGGTTATAAAGGCAGCAAGACATGGAAGCAAGACTACAAAAACTTTTTCACCTTACAGCAGAGCTATACAAGGCACTTGTGTCAAGCATGTCTGAGTGAAGGTGCAGGGACAGCTACACAAATGTTTCCCTGCTACCACGCTTCTAATTTCAGTAACTTGCATGAGATGTGGGATTTAAGGATCTAAGCCTGATTTCAAATTCTGGTGGTTTCAACACATTTGTTGAAAGATTTCCAAAATCCTCATTCTTCTCGTTGTATTTTTCACTCTGCTGTCTGGAAAGGTTTCCTGTGAGATGGTGGCACCAGGTGGGAAGGCAGTGTGCCCGGCAGTTCATACCCATCCAGTTTAATCTTGATGAGATGTTTTGCTAATGCAAACTCCTCATCATCCAACATCCCATCGCCATCACAGTCTGAAAGTTTCCAGATCTTCCCCAAGACACTGTTGGGTAATTTGGAAGTCACCATCTCCTTCTTTGCACTAATCCCAGATATTTTGCCATTAATCGGTGACAGAGTGTAGAAAATCTCATCATAAGCAGGTTTATCTTTGGCAACAACCCATTCTTCTTCATCAGCTCCTTCCTTAGCACCTTCTCCGTACCCATGGCCAAAAGGTCCTGCCATGGTGCCATCAAATGCTCCACCTTGTACCATCTCTGTGGGCATGCTGCTCTCTTCCTGTCTGATCAGGCTCATCAGGGAGGCAATTTTGTTGGCCAGCATGTTATCCACAGCTTCAATTAGCTTTGGTTTCAAAGAATGAAATTTGGTGAAATCACAAGTCTCCAGCAGCTCCTGTCAATAATAAAGGTTTCAGGAACAGTAGTTAGAAGCATTCAGATACATTGAAAAGGTTAAAGAATGAACTTTAAAATAATCTGTAAGCTTTTGAAGCAGGTTTCAAAACTGAAAGGCCTCCTGAAGGAGAAGCAAAGCTGACATATACCAAATATATTAATGAAACACACTAAGACATTTTGCAACCATGTATGAGCCCATCTATTAAATGACACAATTTTCAAAATGGCAATGCATAAAAACATGCAGTTGATGAATGTTATCCAACAGCTTTCCATTTGGTGATTTTCTTCCAAACATCAAATAAAGTATTCAAGTAGATCCTCAGTCCTGCTAGCACTTATGCAAGTGTTTAAAGTCAATAATAAATCCAAGAGTTTGCAGGACTGATCTGATTTTATCTTCTTGTTTCTGGTTAGGTCATGAAGAAGTATCCTTTACCAGTAAAGAAAAACTGAGCTGGGATAACAGCAGCAGCATTTTTATAGAACTGCTGCCAGAATTCATGAAGTATGGTCTCTACCACATTTTCACCTTGTACATAAACTCCTACTAACCTCAGTGAGATGTTTAACTAGGTGATATGAGCTATTCCAACACAAGACCAAGCATGTTTTACACCAGAGCATTGGAAAGTTAAAAATGCTTTAGGCAATTATTAAATGATTTCTACAGGCAAAATGTTATCTGGGAATAGAGTTACAATGGAAATTAAAAAAAAAAACAACAAACCAACACCCAAACAATTCCCCCCAAAACCCTTCTCAAAATGGTGTTAACCACTTTAACAAGTCACATCTATCACCACAGGGAGCTGCTCTCATACATATCAGAACCATAATGATACAAACCCAAGAAAACTGAAGCACAGGCAAATGGCTTTGCCCATGCACAGTGAACTTTTGATTTCTTTGAGGAAAATCACCAACCAACAGCCATCACTCTGTTCAGGTGACACTTATAGACAATCACCTGATTTACAGCAACTGATCAATATAAATTTATGACAGGCAATACATCTTAGAAAGCAAAGGTCAAACCTGCTATCTGTTTTGGTACAATTTTATTTTCTCACAATTTTGCTCCTCATTACAGAAGGGACTGATCTCTGATGTATGTATTTGCTGCCATCTGCTGCTGAGGAGCAGCGACATGCACTATTAGTTTGATAAAGTTCCATTCAAATTTTGTTTCACTGTTCAAACTGACAGGTGATCACTTCTCATTCTCTTATTTTACATCACCAAAAAATGTGGCAAGGGAAGAAAGAGCCAACTTTTTCTACACACTCCCTTTTGAAGCCTAGCTCATTAAACCCTTCCAACAATCCTGCCTGTGAAAACCTAGCTAAGATACTGTGCTTCATCTATAATTTACTGCCTCATGCCAATTAGTGATTCCCAAGTTAAATATTTCAGTTCACAAAGGAAATCTGTGCACCCCTATAGATAGGTTAATGAGCCAGTCATCACTCTATGATTAGCCATGAAAGTGTACCACATGAACTGCCAGAATGATACATGGTCTGGAAAATATCCTCCATCGTACCCATCACCAGCCCATGGTCAGACCAAACTCCCAATCTCATATTTTTCAGCTTCCAAGCTCAATTATTTTCTGATTTGAAGGCCATTTAAGCAGCTTATGATCTGAGATCTGAAACTTGCAAATTGAGGCTTGAGGAATAAATTGACAAGTATTACTAACACAACATTAGCTGTTCTTCCCTAGGGTACTCTCTAAACAACTCACCTCAAATCACAGGACAGAAGTAAAAACGTGAGAAAAGTGACAGAAAGTTGGTAGTTAGATTTCATAAAGTTCAAAAGAGGAAGAAGAGACAAAAGGCATTTAAAAATTAACATAAGCGTATAATTTCAGAACTTCTGCCTTCATGGAATTCACACTCAGAAAGACAGGAAAAATGAAAGGCACCATTTTCAGAAGAGATCGGTTTTAAGTTGAACTTTTCAGATCACACATTGCCTTTGTTGCTCACTAGCAGACAGTATCAGTAAGAGCAAGAAAAGAGTAGGGTAAAAATTAATAATATGTGACTAAGGATATCTTGACCTACACAAGTACATGACAGCATTACAGGAGTGATACAAATACCCACATTTAAGACACAAAACAAGAACCAGCTTAACCAGCTCTTCTGGTTTCAGCTGGAATAAAGTTAATTTACTTCCTAGTAGCTGGTATAGTGCTGTTTTTTATTTCAGATGAGAATAACGTTAATAACCAATGTTTTAGTTGTTGCTAAGCAGCATTTATACTAAGACAAGGACTCTTCAGTTTCTCATACTGCCCTGCCAGCAGAGGTTAGGAAGGGACACAGCCAGGACAGCTGACCCAAAGAAGTCAAAGGGGTATTCCATGCCATATGACATCATGCCCAGTATATAACTGGGGGAGTTTTCTGGGGGACACCACGGCTCAGGGATTGGCTGAGCATTGGTCAGCAGGTGGTGAGCAATTGTATTCTGCATCACTTGTTTTATATATATTATTATTATTTTCCTTTCTTTTCTGTCCTATTAAACTGTCTTCATCTCAACTCACAAGTTTTACACTCCCCCCCCCCCATCCCACTGAGGTGAAGTGAGCAAGCAGCTGTGTGGTGCTGAATTGGCAGCTGGGGTTAAAAGCACAACATCTGTAAGTGTCCACTGTCATTTTATCAAAACCTTTAGTGCTATCTGCCATGAGAGACCAAGAGGTGGTCTGATTCCTTATGGCAATTTCTATAGTCCTGTATCAGTGGATGTACATTAAGCAACTAATTTTTTCTGTTCTGCAGTGCTTCCAAGTCATGCTAACTCCGTGACACATGACTGATTGTCACTTCAGCTGCTCTACTGCTGAAGACCCTAAACTATAATGCTGAGATGCTCTGTCCTACCTCTTCCAATAGGGTGATCCTGTTGCAAAGTTAGTATTATTAGAGTGGAACTGTAATCTTACCTGCATTTTCCTGACTTCAGGGAAGTCCCCTGCTGAGATTTGGTATTCCCTTTGCAGCAGCGTGTAGATTTCTGGTAATCTGCCGATCAGTTCCTTCTTCTTATTCTCTTTTCCAAATACAGAGGGCATTTCTTTTTTCAGATAGCTGATGATATAAGCATGAACCTAAGAAGAAGCAAAACTGAAATCAAGACTACTGTTTATCTACACTTAACATTAGTGTTCTTCACTCAGGTCATAAAAAGAAACAGAAATAACGTTGCCCTATGTCAGCTCAAGGATAAGATATTATCACCAATTGTTTCTGGAACATCTTGCTTACATGAACAGTTATCGACTAGCTTTTGCTGCTTTCAGCATTCCTTTGAGGGGTGAAGAAAAAGCAAACACACTTTAAATAAATACAGATACACACCTGCAGTTTAAAGAGAAGCATGATACAGCATTCTGTCAGTACCAACAGTGAGAGAAAAAGCAAGGTCCCGAAACCACATCCTGACACTACATGCATGGATCATACACAGAGCACCAGCCACACAGGTCCATCTGTCTCAGCGGTAGAGATCTGTAACTCCATTTGCTTTGCCAATTATTGTAGAAAGCAATGGAATAACGCCTCAAGTAATACAAGTATGCAAAGTGGCAGGGCTATCTATCTGAAGTGTCACTGCATTCCTACCTGTTTACTCCCAGAAAAGTGAGTACCTAGAGTCTATACCTATGCAGCCACCAGAGGATGACAGAGCAGTCAGTGTAAGAACAGCGTGTCATGGCTGCCTTGCAAGGCCTTAGGGAAAAAAGTAGAGCCTTTCCAGCAAATAAGACATTAATTTAGGATGACGTCCTAAAAACACACTGATACTTGCAGAACTCTCAGTTTCCCATCTGCCATGATCAAGATAATCCAGCACTGCCATCAAAACATCCACCCTGCTTGTGTACCCTCCTTCCACCCTTACCCTGAACCATTCATCTCTTCCTCTTCATCACCCTCCCACCACCTTTCACCACCAAAAGGATCTGCTTGGCCACACAGCAAGTGGTTCAGGACAGAAACAGTGGCTGTGCTTCTTAACTGAGGCCAGTTCACTTATCCAGTTCATTGTGTGGACACTGATAATCATTCTGTACATGAGAGGGAAGTGCAAGAGCAGCTTTTTTTTAGAAGCAATGCACATCTATCGCAACTTAACGTAACTAAACCACTTTCCTAAGGTCTGATTCTGACCACTGAAGTCAAATGACCTCCGCAACAGGATAAATCTTTACATAACTCAGACCCTTCTTCATTAAAAATGGATGAAGCTGTTCCCAAAACAGAAGTTACTTACAATTTTCTCACACACTGAAAAACACGTCTATCAAACCGTTGACCAGTAAAAAGCTGAAATTTTGAAGACTAAGGGAAGACAGACTACAACAAAAAAGCATCAGTAGCAAAAGAGTGATTATGTAGATGTGGTGTAAGTATAATACTTAATACATAGCAAAACATGACAGAACGTGCCTTTATAGTGTTCTGTACAAACATTACACAGTCTGTACAGGGGAAGTGCTCCTACTTTCCTTACTTATTTAGGAAGCTTACTGGAAACTCAGAGGAAAAAAAATATCTTTGTTTTTAAAGAAAAACAGCAATACCAGTTTTTATTTGCATGTTTTAAGATCACAACTTTCACACAACATTACTTCCTCATAAATAAGAGGAGTGCATGCATTTTAATTGCAGGTAAATTTAGATTTCTACAGAGGAGAAAGAAAATAAAGCGCATAAATAAGAAGTGTTTCTGCATAAAAATGACATTTTCTAATAGGGTAGATATGGCTATTTCTCCACAATGACAGAACTGATTCAACAAGGATATTCCACTTCACTCAAGGGAATTTATAAATAATTGTAAGTAACTTTATGGATCTTATGTTTAAAATAATACTTCTAGCAAAACCAGAAAAGTATGTTTATAGTTCAAAAGCACTAACAGTTTCATATGGATATGCTAAGCGGTCTAAGGTCTGCCAGCATGCACATGTGTTTCTTGTAGATAAGAACAGTTCCCATCCTCAAAATCGGATAGTGAGTCACAGGACTTAAAAAAGAGAAAAAAGCCTAATGCCCAAATTTGGCAGCAAGTTGACAGTTTGCTTTTGGTTTTAGTTACTATACATGTTTTAGAAGAGATTAAGAACAGAGTGGCATAGAAATAGGACCAAAAAATGCAATGCTGTAAAAAATTATTTTTGAGTGTCAGTACTTTAAGATCAGTTTGAAAGACAGAAAGAGGTCACTGGAAAGATTACATTGCTGCTTTCCTGCAGATAAACAGTTTAGTCCCCTTCCACAGCTGTCTAATTAGCAGGTCCTATGAGCATTGTATTTTGTATTTACCTTTATCCATTTTTATTTTACATTACACAGAAACACTAAAGACAATCCACTTGACACTGTTCCACTTCCAAAATGACTGTAACAGGCAAAAGCAGAAAACTGCCAACAACATTCACAAAAATAATTGAAATCATAACAACTTTTAACACAACATCATCAGGAATGTGATATTAAATGGAATTTTCAAAGAAACAACTGCTACGTAGAGCTCAGGCCACAAAAAAAGCTTTAAGTGTGTCATTATATCCAGAGAGCTAATTACGCCAACATAGGAAGTGGTATATATCCCCACACAACTATTCTTATATCAATGTAAGTGCAAGTCCTCTTCATTTTTGCTTAGAAGTCCACATGAAAATGTGTTCCAAGACAACTTCATTTACTCAAGTCATTAACTCAATTCACATTCTGTCCAATAACTGCATAGGAAACCAGAACTTCTGTCTGCTACCACTTGCTTTCTCCCCAAATATTTCTGAGGTTAGTTTTCCTTTTTTTCCAATTTTCCAAATGACAAATCGTTATTCTTGAATCACCAATTTTTATTTTGTTCTTGAGTTTTTCAAACTTCAACAAGAAGGTTGGCAGTGCTTTTAACTATTATCCTAACAGCAGTTGCAGTACTACAGTAAAAGAAACTCTCTGCAGAATCAGAGAAACAGACATAGAAGTATTTTAGACTGTAAACAAAGCTTATTCTAGTCAGGCTGTGAGAAGAAAGGACACATGAAGCTAGTGGTGTTGTTAAGCAGGGAGTCTGCAGATTAGTAAAATATAACCAGAGGGTTTTACAAATAGGTAATTAAAACTTGGTGATAATTCACAAAGCTTTAAAGTGACATCCACTCAAAGATAACTAAAGACTTATCAAAAACATTAAACAGGTTTTCAACAGCCAGCTGTAGACAGTCACAGCACCCTCACACACACCCTGCCTGCACACACGAGTTAGTGACTGTGAATTGTGCACAGTGCACATGCTCCTCCAGAGCCAAAACCAAGGAGAATGGTGACAGGGGCATCCTACAGTGGGACACATAACTCATATTCCTGATCATGTGAGATGGGTTTTTTTGGATATGACGACACCAAGTGTCTCTCTGACTGGGATGTAATCTGAGAGGCTCAAGAGTTTCAAACTAATGCAGAAGCACCTCTCCAATTCATTAGTACCTGTGCTTCACTTAGTGAGGTGTTTAATCAGTCTTGTATGCCAGGGTGCAACATAAAGGCATTTAGTCAAAGTGTTTTTCCACAGCAGCTGATTGACAGTGTGCATTAAGGCATTAATATGCAAAAGAGAGTACGAAAGGTTACATCTGAATATGCAAAAAAGCATATGAAAGGTTGTGGGTTTTTGTCCCACCCCCCTTTTTATAATGTTCTCTACATACCAGATATTGTTAAAAAAAAAAAAATAAAAAAAAAAAAAAAAAAAAGAAAAGAAAAAGAGTGGTTTATCTCCAAAAACTAACATTAAGATTACCTCACTGAACAGTGTAAAAAAAAATTCACTCCCCTACCAAGCAAATAATAGCTTTAACAGCTTAAAAATCATCAAAACCCTTCTCTAAGGTTAGGGAGGCATCCCAGTACAAGTCTTGATTTCCTCCTACTTATTTATATATCCTGAGTGGCTACCTCTTCCTTGAAAAACTGACAATTCAACTCATTTGCTGAAAACCAGTTTACAGGTATAGAAAAAAACTGGGAAGGGTGAGAAAGGACACAATGAAAGAGACAGAAGAGACTACTCATTTCAATTAGTGTAGTTGTCTTTTCTTACCTTTGCAAGTCTTGCCCTCTTAATGAGATCATTGAGTTTCCTCACAGCAGCCTTTTGTGGGAGACTCTGGATATCCTTGAAAAGATCCTGTGCCTCGGCTTCAAACAGTTTTCGATTCTCTGTGTTTCGGAGAGGATGGGCCCAAAAGGAGCCAATGTAGACCCGCAGCACCTCTGGAGTGTTGATCACTTTTCCCAGGGACCACATGAGTGCACCGTAGACCCTCATCAGCTGCTGGGTATCCACTTGGTCAGCCTTATTAAGCACCACTCGAATCTTGTCATCCTGGCCCCGGAATGACTTAATAGCCTCTGAAAACTCATCAGATATATCCAGTTTATGGGCATCAAAAAGGAGGATGATGCGGTCGACCCTCTCAGCAAACCACTGGAGGACTTGGCAGAAGTCGTAGCCTGAAGGAAGAATACACTATTACAGCCCTACCATTCAGAAAAGCGAGTCTCAGAGAAAGTAGGGCTTGGGACAGAGAGCAAGGGGATCACAGCATCTACCTGGGGGAAAAGAAGAGATGGACCACCTGGAAGAGGGTGTCTGTGGACGATGAGGTCAGGACAACTGTATCCTACATTTCTTAGACCAGTCTCACTATTACCACCTTTTGTTTTTCTCACTCCCCTTCCCATCCCTCTCTTGCATCAATATCTTTTGTGCTGCTGTGAGTTACCATCTCACACCTATGTTTGCATCTTCCCAGGAGTTTTGGCTCCAGCAGAGTGCCCAAGCTAAGGAGGTCTGTGGGGCTCTTACCACAAGCTCTCCATCACTGGTAACACTGACCACTTTGGTAGCACTGCCTATCTGTACTGACAAGGAAAACAGCACAAGTGCAGCACTCCAAGCGTAAGCCAGCAACCAAACATATTTGTGATTTAAAACCATTTCCAAACTCATCTCATTGCAACACTTACTGTTGCTTCTCCCACAGCAGACTCAGAGCAATGTGCCTGCGTTGCTGATGGCTTTGGGGATGTGACATGTTACAGAACATGAGCAGTGACCTTTCTGATCATCTGAAACAAACTTTTTGATGTTCTAAAGGAAAGCCTATTCATAGCACCTGTCTGAACACTTACGAGTGCAGCTTATATCCACCTAACAAATAGCATCAGGAACTACTTATTCACAAGTGACACATTTAAGCCGCAGAGAGTAACCACTAGTGATGTGGCATTGAGCTTGGTGTGGATGTGACTCATCTTGTTTGAGTAAGGAACAGTAAGGTATGAGCTGGGAGCTCACATTCCACCCCTCCTCTTCCTCTCAGAAACAAATCAGAGCTAAAAGAGGGAGCAGTCAAAATGCAAGGATTGGTATAAAGTAACCCCAACAGAATCAACAGTTTTGCTCCCAGCAGCATATATTTAAATGCCAACAGCAAAGGAAGCTCAGTTACCACCAGTGAGCCCTCCAGGGTGTCTTTGGTTATTTCTCAGCTGTGCAAGTGTTTAAACCTCAAATCCCCCAGGAAATAAAATCCACTTAGACTGCTCAATATGTGAGCCAATTATCTATCCAAACACTTCACACAGCTGGTTTAGAAACAAGAAAAAGCCTCTTCGCCACTCCTCATTCTCCCTAGCACCTTTTAAACTGTATAAATAAAAGGGTATGGGGACATTGTTAAGTTGCTTAGCTTTTCTTAAAATAATGATGGTTCAGTCAAGTCATCACTCATTATACCTTCAGGTTGTTGGTCTTTAACAGGGAACCCAAAAGCAAATCAGCTTTTTTTGCTTTCCAGTAGAACATAACTAAGGCCAACATAAATGAAAAATGGGGAATGCCACATTTGTCATAGAGACTACTTGTGCATGTTTAGCAACACAGGAAATAACTCAGTCATATATTTTATTTGAAAATTGCAAATAGCATATGAAATGAAATCCAGAAATTCTAAATAGTGACAAAATGTCCCCAGTTACCTGTCTTCCCTGCCTCACCACCCTCCCAAAAAAAGGACCACAAAACATCACTAAAAATCCAACACAGACACATCAAACTGAAAGAAGAGGGTCATGTTAAAAAGGTGTTATTAGGATCCAAAAGGATGCAGGTCAGACTCATTAACTGGCTGTACAAAAAAAAGCCAACATAATCTTGCCCACTGAAAGGATTACTTCTTAAGGAATGCAAAATCTGGCCCCTTTCCAGATAATACTGCTCTGGAGCTTTCATACTTCTCTCCTGTGACCAGTTCCTGGAGGGCTGAATGCAAGATGAAAGGTGCAGCACAGAGGAAAGCTGCACAAAACACTGCTGGAAGAGAATTCTTTTCACTTTACACTAACAAACTCATCAAAATCAGTATGCATTAAAAAAAATAAAATTAAAAGATACATATCTTTTTAAAATGTATATATCTTTAAAAAAATTTAGCAGAAAAGGGAGATCTGGTATGTCACTTTCATGTCACAACGTAGTTGAAACAGTGCACAAATCTGAGCTACGCAATAACCTGTTCTGATTTCATTCATGTAGAAGGAAATAGGCTTGAAATGAAATACATAAAATTGCAAAATGGAGCATGTTAAATTCTATTAAGTTTCCCACAAATGAATGTGAGAAGGTGACTTAACGCTTGAGAAATATATACATTCCCACCACACATTTGATGGATTTTGAGCTGTAAAAACAATTGTGCAGGCACAAGTGTATGCTAACTAGCAATAAATTTATTTAAAATATGAATATTAATGAAGCATTTCCTTTATTAAAGAATAGTCCACTTAATGAAAATGGGCAAGAAAAAGACCTCCAAAAAATCTGAAAAAATAAATTAATTTTAATGAAAATTTGTCATTAGAAGTGAACCTGTTTTAGATAGAAATTCAGTGATTACACACTGGAGTATATGTGAACTACAGAGAAGCGATAATGTAGCTAAATATTTCAGCACTGAAACACAACACTCTTAGGATCCTGTCACATAAGAGTACATGTGTGTGGATTAGGGCTTTCAAAGTTTAACAGTACTAGGTCAACACTGACCAGTTTGGAAACGACCAAAAAAATTCAGTGTAGCTACTTCCCAGCCTCCTGCTGCTCTATTGTTGCTCTTTCTTCAAAGGTTTGTTCCCAGTGAGTGATGTCAGCAATTACATCCAGCCTGAGCATCTCTCACCAGGTACATCATATGTACTTGCAAATGCATATCAGGAAGCCCCAAGTCACCCTTGTACCCAGCTAGGGGACAGAGGAAACAGCAACCCACCAGCAGCACTGCAGAGCTCAAGCTCATGCCGAGCTGTGGGGAGGGAGCAAGCTGGTGCCTCCGACAAAGGCATAACTGTTGGGCATCAGTAACGGGCTGAGCAGACACCACACAGAGGAGAACAAAATGAAGCAATGCGGAAGAGGTGAAAAAGCTGGAGTGAAGCTGCACATGGTTACCAGCTCTGGAAACACTGATGTGAGGAATGATCATGAGCTCTCATGTGTTACTAGCATAGGGGAAAGTGCCAGCCCCATGCATGACAGCCACCAGCCACACTCAAAGATACAGCTGTGCAATCGTGCAGTATGAGCGTGGGTCGATTTTCTGTGCCAGTTTGTAATAAAGATTTAAACAAGCAGTAGGCTTTCCCTTACTGGCCTGTGGTAGATAATTTCCTACTTGCCCTAATGCCATTTCCCAGAGCTTTTGCAATTTAGAAAACAATTAGGGAGGCTTGATGGGCTCCACCCGGCCTCTGTGAGAACAGACATCAGTGTCCAGTTCTTCCACTCCTGGGTCTGGCGCTACTGGCACAGCAGAAGAGAGGTGCCTCTCAGATGAATGCTGTGGTGAGGAGCCTCCAAACTCACACAACAGTATTACCCACCTACCAGATGAATCAGGGGTGGGCAGTGCTGGAGTGATCCCTCCTGCCATTGCTTGCTAAGTACCACACAACCAATGCTACAACACACAGTCTGGATGTGGACAAGAGCAGCCTACCCAACCTGCTGCTCTTCTAATGCTTTGCCACAGGTGAGCATCTGAACTTCAGTCTTTCAAATGGAGCTCAGACCCACATGGAAAGATGCACTTTTGCTGTCTGGGGTGAAGGTTTGCAGTTATGTTAATGAAAGCCTGTCTCAGTCCAGCACTCCTGGTTAACACTCACTGCATTCCTGTCCGTGGACTGATCCTAAAGAGAATGTACAGTATCTCACTGCAAGGCAAAGCCCAACACAATGCTGCCACTACACACATGTCACTTTACTTAATCCATTACTACATTTTCACAAGCCAGATTGAACTGAGAAAATGACCTGTATTTAAGTAACTCCAGTTCAAAAACTGCGAGCTAATCAATATCCTCTGTATTCCTGTGAGCTCTTTAGCTGTACTTCTTCAAACCCTTGCCTTCATGCCACTTGACCCCCTTCCTAAAAGCAGTTCCTCCCCACACCCTGCCAGACAGTGCTTCTCCTTCCTCCTCTCCTTGTTCCTTCCAAATCTTGCAGACTATATGCACATTTCTGTCTGGCACAGGCTATGTGAACGTCACCAGTGATGCTGCAGAAGCAGCACAGGGATGGGCACTTTCTGATCAGGGACAATGCTGGCACACGTCTGCACATTCCCCTCCAGCCACTTATGCAGCCCCTGATCTGACAGTCAGGAAAGGCTCTGGCACATCCTCTTGCTGACAAGAGGAGCTGGAAAGCTGCGTCAAGAGAGACAGCTTTGGATGTTGCACTGTGTATATTTTTGACCCTTCAGAAAATGATCAGCTCCATCCATGGCCTGGATGCTTTCCAGAGTTATATATAAAACATACCGGGAAATAGTGCATATCCTTTAGTTTTCCATAATCCCTTTACGGTTTTCCTGCATTTGATTGCTTTCTTGTTCTCAGAAGTCTTCACTGTACTCCTAGTGATACCTGCCAAATTCTATCACTATGCAGGTGTAGCATCAATTTATACGTAAATAGTTAAGCAGTAGCTCACAGGAAGATGGAAAAAACCAACAGCAAAGAGTGAGGGTTTTACACTGAGATTCTGTAATGTTGTTCTTCCAAACACATTAAAACATCACCAATAAGAAAAGCTGCTGCTCACTGACATTAAAACCAAACTGAACTTCTAGAATGGTATAATAATTTAAAAACTCAGGTATGAACAGACACCAGTAAGGTGCAGAACAGAAAACATCTAAGAATACTTATCAGGTGTTTTTAAATGACATATTCCATTAATGAATTATGAAAAATCTCATTTTGTAGATATTATTTAGAAAATCACAGCAAGATTCATAAGAAACAAGTTTGAGAGAAATAGAAAGAAACCAAAAGCTTAAGTAAATTTGCTGAATTATAAAATTTTGAAATATGAAGTTGTGAAACTATCAGGAAAGAAGTTCTGAAGAATCACCCTGTATATTCAAAGCTTCCCCGGGAAGCACAGAAAAGCATCCCTATGCTTAAGTCTATAATCACCTTCAGATTGAAAGGAAACGGCAGTTCCCATAGTGAAGCACACCAACTGCAACCTTTTTCAGTTAGAAGCAGCCAGTGAATTAATGGGGTAAACAACACACAGTATGTAGGAAAAAACCTTTGTTGTCTGAAGGTGTACAAAGAGAACTTTCTCTGACAGAGACACAATTAGGGACAGCATTAAACATCTTGTAGAGTCCTGCTTACATTTTATAAAGTAATCTAAGCAGCTCAAACTTCACAACATGCTGAATTAGACTTATGGTGTAAATACGTTAAAGTCAGTCCGACTCCTTCAGGAAGCAGGTCAGACAGGCTTCGCATTGTGCGGCACCACAGGACAAGTCAAATTTGTATTCCACAAAACCACCCGTATGGAAACTGCATAAGCAGCCCAAAAGTCATATACAGGAAATGTATCTGACTATGCAGTATTTCAGACACGGGAGAGCGCAGTATTGCCTAATCATAAGGGCATGTTAATAGGTACATGCTATAGGGTCCACGCCGTGACTTGTAGGTACTTCATGTACACCGGTGCCTAAGTATATGAAACCTTAAACTTTGGCAGCTGTCACCCTGCAAGCCTGGGGCACAGAGAGAACTGTGCTCTAAAGCTGACTCCCAAAACCTTATTTATGGTACAGCCACGCTGGTTAAAGCTAAACAGCATACAGGAGGACTACATTTCTGACAAAAGAACTATGCCAAGTTATGTATTCAAGACAACCCTTAACACATAAAAAAAAACCCCCCGTTTCATGAAATGCAAACTAGTCAAATTAAAGCCTGTGAAACAGCTTAGAGTTTGAGGCTATCACTGAGCACTGTCAACTCAGGTGAAAGTTTACCATATCAAAGGGCAGGCCAGCTAGGCCATAAAAACAATTGATAAGGCATCAAGAAATGGAGTTTCTAAACTATAAGGGAACAATAGTCGTATGTTTCGTTAAGTCAGGAAAGCAAATCTAGATGGCAGCGAAGAGCCGTGGTCATTCAAGCAACACAAGACTACCAGTAAAACAATCTGGAGTGAAACACAGCTCTGTCCCACACATGAAGTCTGGGACTTCCACAGCAACCCCTAATGGTGTTCAATTTTGTCACAAAATTGCTCACTTTTTCAGTGGCATATTAATATGATACTTTAGCTTTCTGCTTATTTCATGTTCACTTCCATACTGTTATGAAAGTGGTAACAGATACTTGAACGCTGCCAAGCATAATTTTCCCTAGAGAGGGAGAAAGATGTGCCTACCTTTTCTTGGTGGAGGAAAAAGGTAGCTGGAATAAACAATGGAGAAGCAGAAGTAGGAGGTTTAAGACCACCTTTGATTTTATCAGACTCTATGTAAACTGAGACTTAAACATTTTGTGGACATCTTATGAGAAGGTTTTTCAGGATTAAAGATCATTAGTTATACACTTGCTTATTTCTGCCTAGAAATAAGAGTGCCAACACAGTATTTGCTTTACTCATCCGGTTCCAGAATATTCAAGCCTTTGCTTGTGCAGATGTAGTGCTCATACTGTTCATCTCTACTAGTTCACCAGTATATCGCATACAGGAAAACACAGCTCTCTCCATAATGAACACTTTAACATGACTCTGTGAGCAATAGAGAGGACAAAACAACCCACATTCTGTCACTTAAAGAATGCAGAAACACCATGTGGATCTGTTTACTAACATAAGCATAGTTTAGATTACAGTCCTAAATTAATCTCTTGTTATATTAGTGCAGTGTAAAGGACAAGACCATGGTTGCACACCTGCCATATATTATGCTTATTCCAGGATTTCCTCGAAAAATTCCAAGTGCAATGTGTTAAAGAACTGATTGTTTCCCTTCCCACAGACATGAAACACACGTTTCCATTTCTTAAGCAAGAGGGCAGCATAAGCCACACACTGGATCACTACCATTTACCATTCCACAGAAATCTCCATGAACTTAAATGCAGCTGAAGGAGACAAGGAGGGAAGTTATTTACATTATATTTTAGTATTTTCTCAAAGACAGACTATTTTTTTTTTAAAAAAAAAACAGGGTTCAGTTTTTTTACAGATTTTTCATTTTATTAAAATTATTACCATTCCCTCTTCCTCTTGCCACCCTAACTCTTTTGACTGAAAATTATATTATGGCATGACTGAGCAACCTTAAGAAGCAACACCAGCACCTGTCCCTACAATAAAATCACCTTATAGCCCAACTCCCTCAGTTTTTAAACATGACCAACTTGAAGAGCTATAGCTATTATGAAATATTTCTTCATTCATGAACTTCAATAGCATATATAGCAGTCTAGACATTATTACTTTGTGGAGAGCAATTATAGAAATAAGGCTTTTTCTCAGGAGCGTCAAAGCACCCATTTGTCAGACCATGCAACCATAGCCATTTGCAGCCATAGCAGCAGGACAACAGAAATCTCAACCCAACCAGTTTTCAAGAGAAAAATTCCAAACCCTACATCCAGCTTTAAAACATGGGTTTAATAGGCCTTGTAATAAGAAAGTTTGGCACATACCACCACTAAAACAGGGCCCCAACAGATTAGGATGCTGACTTGTCCAGTATAGCAAAAATAGTGAGCTCTGTTATTTCCAAGCCCTGCAGCTTACCTCTGCTGATGCGCTGCTTCTCTCCAGAGAGAATGCCAGGGCTGTCAATGATACTGATGCTCTTCAACACCTGGTTAGGTAACTGGGAACACATGAACCTGCAGGAAAGGAGGCGAAAAAAACAACATTAACAATAGCTCTAGCTCACACATATATTGTCCCTTGAGAGCTCCCCTTTATGTACCTGCTTACAGGAAGACTCAAGTGAGATTCTGTAAAGTTTCTTAAGTCCTAATGAATCCCTATGTTTTGCAACCATACATGTTTAAGAAAGCCAAATGTAAACAGAGAGCTTCTCATAAAAAAAGAAAACACAGGAAAACCCTGTAAAACTGTAAGCCTAAGTGCTGATAAAATTCTGAATTTTGCAAGAGCTGACAACATGGGCCATATAGACAACATTAAAAAGATTCCATGGAACATTTTGCTGGGACCAAAATAGATACACACAAGAAACAATTCTTTATGTACTCCAGCTTTAGCCCAAATTCAAAGAGATTCAAAAGAAAAGGGAAGCAGGCAGAAAGCCATACTGACAATATTCCAGTCACTGGCATGTCACTGTCTCACCTGTTCCAACAGCATTTGAACACTGTTTGTCTCCAATCCACCACCCTTCTTAGGTGGGGCTTGCAGAGGACTGAAACCAAACAGTATTTCAATTCCCGCAAATGGAGCAAAAGCTTTCACACTGCCAGAACCAAGCGTTCAGATTACACACAGCATGTTCTAAACAATAACCTCCTGCCTCTGTGATGGGAGACAAATTCAGCGACGGTATTATGAAATGTAAATAATTCACGAGGCCTCTGAGAGTCGTGCAGAACACTTTGTGTGTTAAATCCAAACTACTCTGATGCTTCTGGGATCGTGCATGACTGAAGAGACTCACCACCTTTCATCATAAACTGCCTGTAAGAGATTTGCATAAGAGTTTAATCTTCTTATGGGGTAGCAGCTGAAAATGGCACTAACAAACACACAATGTAACCTACCCTCCTCCTGTCAAGCCGCCCAGAGGCTGCCTAGCACAAGGTCCAGGCTCAGGCTGTAAAATGGCTGCCCCGCATTAACCCATCGCTTTAAGAGGCACACTACTGCAGGAAATACAGTATCACAGACAGCAAATTTTAACTGTGCCAAGGACAAACAAGAACTTTACGACCAAGGATAATCTGCGTTAGGAAGAGTTCAGGCAGTTAAATATCTGATAGAAAATGCAAAATATATCAAAATTTGGAAGCTATTGTTGGACAGATAACGATCCAGATGACTCAAAAGAAATCACGAAGGGAAAAAACATAAAATCCTTCTATCTCACTTCACCTTGTGTTTCAGGTGACCTTGTAGTAATGAGTCTAACAAAAGCACATAGCATGTATGTGGGTACAACAGAAAGAGCAGCATGAGCTATGCCTCTCACTGAAACTCAAGAGGGCATAAGGAAATCGCAGCTATGTTGGCCTGATAAAACCTTAGGGTGTGTAAACAGCACTACCCTCTGGGGATTTTGGTTTTGTTTGTTAGTTTGTTCATTGGTGGTTTTTTTGTTTGCTTTTTGGTTTGGGGGTGGGTTTTTTTGGTTTATGTCTGTTACATGGTTTGGGGGGTGGGGGGGTGTTAATTGTTTTTTGGTTTTGGTTTTTTGGTTGTCTATAAAATACTGCATATCCGAAGCAAACTCTTCCACTAAGGCTGATTTTCTACCAGTGTAACAGATGCTTTTCAAAGATCAGTGAGCTACTATGGAATAAAATAACATTTTTTGAACTTTCTAAAACCTAAAGGAGACACTGTGTTAAAGCAAACATATTTTGTTGAAACAGTGGATGTGCATAAGAGACAAATAAAATACATTTGACCATGTCAACCGTTACAAAAAACGCATCACTAGTATGTACAACATGAAGTAACTTTAATAAATTTGGAAGTGTGAAAACTGAGGTTTTGTATGTTTTTTCTTATCACTTTATTTCAACTCTAGAAAGCCCAGCTCTTGTTTAGTATCACTGAGATGTTTCCAGGCCTCTTACAGAAAGACAGACACCATTATTTCAGCTGAACAATACAGCAGTATTTTGACTCAAGCATTGCCCAAACTGCTGGACAGTTGGAAAAGGCCAAGAACTACAAGCTTCAGAAATGTAAAGATGCTGCAGTCTTCACAGTAGTCATCAACGGCAAAGGGAAAGGATATAGGAAAAGGATATGAAATAAAAGGATAAACTCCGAATTAACTGGCTGTAGCTTTTTAGAATATATCCATAATCTAAAGACAACAGATGGGTTAAAAATCCTACATCAAACTAATATTTCAGACAACTCAAAACTGTAATGCTAGTTGTACTTGAATATTTTTTTTGACATTGAGACTTGGCTCTGAACTACTCTTTCTTACACAACCTGTATGAAGTGTGATATTAAGTACTGCATCACAAAAAGCAAAATGGCATTCTATATACCTAAATGACAACAGACCTTCACCAAAAAAAAAAGGGTACAAAAATAGTTGTGCTAATTAGATAACTGTAACTGCTTATGACACATTAGACCTTTGATACAGTCATGTCTTTCATATTATCATAAAACTATTGTTAAAGAAACCCACCAGTATTCGACTATCCTTGCAAAAATAGTTTACATTGCAGAAATGAAATCAACCACCTTGCAAACATCTGTTGTTGTTGGGGGTTTTTTTTGTGTGGTTTTTTTTGTTTGTTTGGTTTTTTTAGATTAACTTTGGATGACTCAAGGAATCTAGTAAGAATTTATACTCTTTTTTGTGTCCATTCAAATACCCATTAGAATACAGCAGGACCATTTGTTTCTTCTCGTGCTCTTCTGCTATACTGCAATATTCTTTCCTCACTGAGTGTAACCAGCACTGAGGAGCACACTAGGTGCTGTCCACATCCCTGTCCCCCTCATCTTGCCTTAAAAGTACTCAGGGGAAATAAGAGACAAGTTTCTACACTCGGGAGCCTTAGAGAGGCATCTATCCCAAGCAATGAGATACACAGGGAAATAAGAAGGGGTCATGGAAAAAAGAGGCAAGGTAACATTAATAAATTAATGCAGCTAATTAGTAAGTACAAGCCTAGATTGCGCTACCAAATTTTTGGTTTCAGTTTCCCCATTGCCTCAATTACTGTTTCCTTTCATGCTATATTTAGATGAAAATGGCACTTAACTTTGCAGTTTAAGTATCCATAGTCTTAAATTCTTCCAGAAAGCAAAACACTAGGATCAGAAAATCGTTTAAAAAGAAGATGGGCAAGAGGGAGGAGCAGAGGAAAACCTATTAAGACAGGAGTGAAAAATGTATTTGGGTATAAAGGACTGTCAGCATGGCAGATGAGAAAAGGCAAAGTAAAAAATGTGGTATGATTGCAGGTAAGAACAGGGGGAAGTTACTCAAAGATACTGAAATGAAGCCTAAGACATTTTCAACTAGGTGAAGTAGGAAAAAGAAAGGAGTTGACAAGTTTTGAAATAGCAGCAATATGATCAGAGTGGCAGGCGGAGGGTAATGCTAGGGGATTATAAACACCTAGATCTCTGCTGCAAAACTAAGGAGCAAACGTTGACCGCTGGGGAAGATAATGCTGCTCGCAGCACTGCAATATAACAGGATCACAGTTACCAAAAGAACTGGAATAATTTAGTTGGTTACTTTGAATGTACATCTTTTTAGCTTGCAAATAATCTGGCTTGCATAAGATTCTGTACCTAACACAACCAGCTAGACAGATGATTTAGCCAAAAAATTATGTTTACACCATTCATCCAAACAAACACGTAGCATTATTACATGTTCTGTGTAATTATTTTAATACTGTGAAAAAATACTATTTACAGTATAATTAGACTGTATAGTGGAGACCACAATGGTGGGGAAAGAGAAACATCTGGAGAACAGGATTTAGCAAATAATCCCACAGAAAGGGGTCTTGGACCACTAATTTATTATTTAAAATGGAACTTGACGGCAGCTTCCCACAGCACATATTCTTATCTCTCAGCAAAGTGATAGCCAAGCCAACTATGAGCAGCTATAAACTTTCTTCTGTGAATAAAAGCACAGCAAGAGATAAGACCAGACATGATGAACTTTTAACACATATGCCAGCACTTATCAGCTAAACAGGAAAGTTTATTGTTAAAAGAGAACTAATTTAGATTAATTGGCTTGCAAAGCCAGGCCTCCATGTCAAGCTACCATCAAATACAGGAAGAAAACAAGGTGATTGCTCACACAATGCGAACAAAGTTATTAATAACTTTTAACTGGAAATATTTAAGCAGCAGCCATCCAGAAGCTAACAACATCATCCTGGTCTATGGGACTGATTGAAGAGCAGCTAGTCAAAATTAAACACTTAACAGCTTGAATATGTATTTATCCAGAAGGTATATTCTCCATTCTTGTAGGCCTTTTCACATATCCCAGCAATTCCCACTTTTAAAGACCTCTGGTGAGACCAGTGGAAAGAACAAGACAGCATCAAAGGGAAGATTTTTTTTTTTTTTTTCCTTTTCTGGACGGTAGTTTTTAATAATAGTACTACTCTATCAATTTTATTCAGCGTGAGAATTTGTGCCCAAACTGATCCTGAGTGCCAGCCAGCATAATGCCTTAGAAACAAGTCAGCTGGTGGAGCATCTCAGCAACTTTCTGTGAACTGCTTTTAACAATGATTTTCTGTTCAGACAACTCAATGTTATCTGTGCTAATGCTACTCTACCTCGTACTGCCTTTTTTTTTTCCAATTCACTTGAACTGCCACCACTCCTGCTTGTATTTGAATATTTACCCCATACTGTTCAAAACAAATCCAGCAGAATAAAACTGGAAAAAAACAGTGATGCTTGAGGATGGTATCAAGTAGAAATTTAAACATAAAAATCAAAAGACAGCAAGCAAACAAATCTCACCTGTTAAGGAAAGCATTTCCAAAGCGGCTGAGTTTGCGGAACGGCTTCTTAGGATCAACAACCAGGGCATTTCCAGGAATGTTTCCTTCTGTATCTCCATACATCACCGCAATAAAAGAATCTGTGGTAGGCTCTGGACCAATCCGCATGCCTGGAAAGTCTTGTTCAAGCAGGTATCTAGAGATGGAGAATACACAAAGTAACAAAATGAATGACTGGGAACTATGGCAAGAGCAAATACCTATAATTTGCTTGAAAACTCCCAAGGATATATACACTCTAGCATAATAAAATTACATTTTTCCCCGTATTTCACTATTTCTATTGAATGGGGGGGGGGGGGGGGGG